TAGTGCTTTGGTGCACACTACGTTACTGCACAAGCATGGGGTGACATGCTGCAAACAAAGGGCATCTTTGCCTGTGCCTGCAACAAGTATATGCTGCAACCCCCGAAATAAAAAGAAATAAAACAAAGCAAAAAAGCCTTAGAAAAATACAACATACTTCTCCAAAATGAATACTAAGGCCCAGCCCAGTTTTTAATCTAGCAGAAAAAAATATGATGAACATGAGTTTAGTGTCACTTTGGGCCTGAATACACCTGAGAAAACATGCCAACACACAAATAAAAACGCTCCACAATGGCCTGTTAGTGTAGCCTAGAGCGTATTTCTCTTGTTTTTTTTGTCCTGGTGACTATCCTCAATAAAACAAAGTAATGAGCAATCCAAAATGTTACAGTTGTCACTACAAGAATAGTTGTTAGAAAGTTTTCCAATGGGGACACCTGTTATGATACTGTCAGATTTGAATTTCCTTCTCCTTGTAGAGGTTTCCTTTTACTTCCTGTTGTCTCTCCAATGGGACACAGCAGCAAAAAAGAAATCGGACAGGTGTTTTTAACTTCCCCCCAACTCTATCCAAAAACAAACATAAAATGTTTGGCTGGAGATCCATTATAAACAATGCCACAAAAAGGATCTTCCATATTTCTGCCCTAACAGGAGCCCAATAAAAAGCTGCATCATATCAAAATGTTATTGTTTTAGTGAATCTGTTGAAAACACTAACCTTTTAAACAGGCCTGATCTATGCAAGCTTGAAATCTCAACTCCAACCAACATTTTTTTCTTTCAGGTAGCTTGGGAACCGGTTAGAACCTCTATCAGCTTTTTATTGCTGCCCATGCCCCAGTGTCTCAGAGGCAAGGTGTCACAAGTACAGGAAGTGATAGGATATTTCTCTGATATTGACAGAGACGGCAGCCAAAGTACAATTATTTAGTACAGCTAGATGGAGTTAGCACATCTGTCAGGCTTTTTCTCTGTGGCTTTTTCTTCCTGTGTCTAGAACACATACACCCTTTCATTTCTGGTCCTAGTGTCAATGGCACAGGAAGTGAGGGGAAATTTCCCCAAGGAGTACACACAGCAGCAATACAATCTTACACTTTTATGATAAACTAAAAAAAAATACCCGAGTTCAGCTTTATAACACTCTATAAACTGTTTTTTTATATATCATTTTCTGTACAATTTGAGTTTGATTTAGTATCGTAAACAAATTACCAACACAGTTGAGTACTTTAGTTACTGTCCATCCATGGGCTGCACGAGAGAAATCTAATGGATACCTCCATCCACGCTAAACAGTGTGAATGGAGGCATTTGCCCTACCAGCTATTGTAGTTGGACAGCTGACACCTGCTGATAAACGTGAGAAAATTAGCCATATAAGGAGCACATCTACATTCAGTACACTGGTCAAATAGACTTATTATTTCAAATAAGTATTATTAACATTCCCTTTTAAAAACAATTTCCTCAAAAAAGAGTTCAGCTGTGTTGTTGCAAGTGCATTAATATGGATGCAATAACTTTAAACAAGTTCATAAAAACATAAACTTTTGATCAAACAAATTGTGTTTTTATTCCATCTTTTTTCAAGGACAAGAGATATACATCAGAAAAGTACAAAGACATTTATGTAGAGCTCAATAATATAAAGTCTCGCTCAGAACGTGAGATTGACCAATTAAAGGAACATTTGCGGCTTGCCATGACAGCACTGCGTGAAGAGGCTGCGTTACGGAACAGCGTAGGAGAATAACGGTGAGAATGATTTATACACATTTTTTTTTTTTCCTAGACAACCGTTTTACACATCAGATGTAACATGGATATACTTGTTTTGTGTAACTAAAAAACCATCATAGGGTGTTAAATATTCTAAAACATACTTTGTCCTGACACTGTATTCTTGTTTCATTCACAGGTTATTTAAATGCCTCTTTTCATGGAGATATGGATATCATGTATTTGCAGACACTGTGACATCACTGCATCTCTGACTGCGCCGGAAACTGCATCATTTTATATGTGAATCACAGGATTTTATACAGTTTATTATTTTTTTTTATTAAACAGAGATCCTCTGCCATGTGTCTAAGACAGTAGCACAAGGTCATATAGCCCAAAATCTGCAACATCGGTTTTGGGATATTTACATATATTTTACTGTTACGTATGGCAGAATGTAACTGTTTGCTTTTAAAGACCTACTGTAAATGTGGACATGTAAGTGATCTAAATGCACTGGGAGCAATGGTGGGAAAACATAGTAGAGCACTGGGTGGAGCTGAGTTGTGCAGATGTGAGTGCACTAAATGTAGCGAATGTAAACAATGGCAGTAAATTAATTGCAAGAGTGAATACCAATTGTATACTGAGAGAACCGAACCAATTGTATACAGAGAGGTAATCGATAAAGTGTCTGGCTGACTGGAGAAAGGTTATGTATGAACATTTATTAAGCTGCTGGGGAGTGGTGGTATTTTTGATAAAAGCATTCTTAATCCGAGTGTGGTGCAGGTCAAAACTGAATAGTCTGTAAACAAAGAAACCAAGAAGGCTAGATTGTATGTCAGCAGTTTGCGAGCGCTGTATGTTTATATAGATCTCTTATTTACAATTGTGAACACAAACATAAAAATGTTTAAAATCAAATGTCATTACTGTTAGCATTAAATCATTTGTATACCAAAGATGTGAAATATATTGATCTTCTCACCCTCTTTGGGAACATGTAGTTCAGTATTGCTGCAAAGAATTTGCCAGGCTGAACGGGGCTCATTAGTCTTCTGTAGGAGTTTATTAGTACTCTGGGAGTGTGTGCTAAGCTCTCTGATGCTTGGCTTGTCTGGTATCAGATGACAAATTGTACTGGTAAGGTAGAATGCCCAACTATATACTATTGCATTTGGCACAAACCAGTGCTGGTATATGAATGATTTCACACTATGGAACCCTATACTTATGTTTCTATTAATATTTTCCTTTAATTGGACTGCTCATGTTTTAAATTTAGGGATCCACATATAGCAATGCAATTACCATCAACATAGCTCTCTATTTTAATCTACACTGTAGCACACCACTGTAGTTTAATTTACAGAAATCCTTTCCAGAATCAGCAGGGGAAACTTTGTGTGATATTGACACCATGTAGATTCCAATGGATAGCGCCCATCAGTGAATTAGGTGGAATATTTCTAAAGTTGTTAGCCTTTCTGGACCTTCTTGCTACAAAAAAAACTTTGATACTTTTAACCAGTCAAAGTAAATATAAAGGCACATTTTGAATTTGTTTTTTAAAGAAATGCAATGCAAGTATGCATTTAAACAAAAGAAGTAACTGGAGGTTGCACTTTACAAATCTTAATTTGTAGAACGGAGCTTAAACTTTTCACCACTACTTGCTTTTCTTTTTTTAACATGCCCCGCACACAGTGTTTCTATGACCCATCTGCTGCCTGACACCTTATTTAAACTTGTTAAAAACCTGCAAGAAATGATGGACTGAATAAATGGATAATGTGTATGGTTCCCCCTTACCACTCCTTCGCAAATTAACAGGACTGAGATAGCTCTTCTCCTTGCGGTAACCAGGCTGTCGGGATGTATGCTAGTGACACTGGGGTAAAGGCTGTCCCTGCAGATTAAATGAAAGTGTAGTCGGTGCTGCTGTTCTGGCAGACTGCAAGGGTCTCGTTGCTGATCAGTTGATAAAAGGGTAGAACCCCTCACAAGTTCATTACCTAGCTGCACAAGTCCCAAGACACTGAGCATGCAATCTTTGATTACTATTGTGATGTATGAATGCATGATACAGTGTATTTTAGGACATGAATCCCCACCCCTGTCACTTGCTATTACAGTAAATAGGTAAGATGAAATTGTGTGGTTTATTGTGATTGACCTAGAATGGAGACTCATAACCCATATTACATTGTATGGCCAATTCACAAATGGCAATAGTCAAATGGTGTACAAAAACAGTACTTTTTCCTTTTTGTATTGCAAATTACACAGGTTTTGCACTGATATCTCAAACAGCACCAGGCATCACAAGCTGAATAGTTTGCTTCTGAGGTTTATAAATGGTTTAATTATGCAGTGACGTGAAAAGCTTGCAATGCACAGCCGAGCTGAAGGGTGTATTTAGCTGAATCATTATAAATGGGTCTTTCAGGCTTAAATCAATACAAACGTGCAGGCCTATTAATGCAAGGATTATTATCCTCCCTTATTTACCTTCACTAAGGTCTTGTACACATGGGCTTCAGCTCCAATTTGAGGATGTTAAATACCGATTATAATATAGGTGGTGCAGGAAAGTTGGAACCACTTAAAAACTGGAACCGCTTGCACATGGTTTAAACCGTATGGTTCCTCGGTAGAATGGTCTACAACATGTTTGTCCTCATCTCCCATTACTGTGGTGTAGGAGTTACCCATGTTTCAATTGTTGCAGGAGGGTTATGTGGTGAGGGGTGGGGGGGGCACCCTCTTCTCTACAGTCTCTTCTCAGTCCACCTCACCCCTTCTATATTTTGTTGTTTTGGATAAGGTTGAGTGTTGAATCAGTCTTCCAGTTCTGGAGCTGGCGTAGACTTCTCTCTTCACCTTTTAGAAGATCCTGTCATTGGAGACACTCATCTTCTGGGCTACATTCTGGAGTTCCAGAACAGGTAGTTCTTCCTACATCCCGGGCTCATTCTCTGATCAGTATATGAATATCAAAAATGTCACCAGCACACCATTTAGAGCAGGGGTCTAAAACTCATTTGACTCCCACAATAAGGTCCTATTCATATCTGTAAGTTTAGGTGCAATTAGGGATTCCTGCGTCAGGAACTTGCGTTTTTCTGCAGCAGGAATGCCTAATCTGGTGTTTACAAGTGGCAGCTGTCACCTGTTCAAGGTAATGATCAGGTGATATCAGCTGCAGGTAAACACCTGCATACCGCATGTAATTGTATGTGATATGATTACATGTGGTTAGAAAACATTCTCCCTGGTTGCACAATCGATGCATCCAGGGAGAATGACTGATTCCTAACCAAATGTAATCATATCGCATATCTTTACATGTGGTATGCAGGCATTTACATGCAGCTGCTGTCATCTGATCATTAACTTGTATAGGTGACAGCTGTCTCTTGTAAACACCAGATTAGGCATTCCTGCTGCAGGAAAACGCAAGTTTCTGATGCAGGAATTCCTAATTGCACCTAAAGATAGAGGTGTGAATGTAGCCTAATAACTCCCCCAATACACATGAAAAACCTACCCCTGCACATATAACATAATACACTCCCCCTGTACACATTAAAAAACCTACCCCAGCACATATAACATAATACACTCCCCCTGTACACATTAAAAAACCTACCCCAGCACATATAACATAATACACTCCCCCTGTACACATTAAAAAAACTGCATCAGATGGAGATTTGTGCTTAACATCGCTAGATCGGTAAGTTGGTCTAGGGGCTGCAATACAGAATATATACCTACCTTATCAGTCTTGTGGTCTTTAGTGCTCCTCTCCCCCCCCAGGCAGGATCGAGGATCAGGTGAGTATATTTATTTTATTTTTATTTCAGCCCCTAGACAAAAATAAGCGGGTAACTCATGCAGTGCTGCAGGTGTAGGCCCCTGCAAGGATTCGTTTTTTAAATTCTTGGAGTTCCTCTTTAAAGACTGCTCAAAATTTGCTGAAAGTTTTGTAAAGGTTTGCTGTACCCACTGCTTTTTTACAAGCTGAGGCCCATGTGTGCAAGGCTGTACTTTGCCTGAGCATGACCCTTAAACTTAAAGAGGAACTAAAGCCTCCTATCCTCCACGTATAGTGTCATCGTCGCCTCTATTTAGATTTGCAGTAGCCATATTGTTGCACACATGACCAGCTGTGACACCAGCCTTTTTGAGGGCTTGAAATATTGGTTGAGCTGACATGAGCACACTGGCAACTGTGACAGTTATCATCAGTGGCATTCCTTGAATGGAACCCTAAAGAGAACAAAAGCCAAAAAAAGGTTTGCCTATAGTTCTCTTTTAATTCAGGTAACACTTAAGCTAAAATGTTTTTATCTGCTAAGCCCAAGTGTAACTGCTGATCCCTCTTGTGTTGAAGGGCACCTGCAGTCAGCCAGCATTATACTAAAATTAGAATAGTTGTCTATGCAGTTAGTGGACTAACTGTTTCCACTGATTCTTTCATTAATAACAAGGAAGTAAATGGATTATACTTCAGTTTTTATACAACAAATAGTGAAATTAAATAAAACTTTTTATATTCAGCTGTGTGAGATTTTTACTTGTGTCATGTGTCTGGTGCAGAGGACCCAGCCCCACCCACAACTTGTAGTTCATCTTGGGATCGCTGAGAAAAACATGTAATCCTCACTGTGTACTGAAGTCTTACAAGACTTCAGAAGTGTCACACTAAGGAAAGTAATCTCTCTCTGCAGTTTGAGATAGGGATGTCCCGATACCAATTTTTCCAAGTACAAGTACTGTCCCTTAGTTACTTTCCGTTACCAATTACCAATACTTTTTCTAAAACAATACATACCAATGATTTTAGGTACTAGTGTTGGTATTGGGACACTCTTAAAAGGTGGACGTTCCCTAATATAATGTGATAACCTGCATGCTAAGATGATGGTGACATTGGCTTCAGTTAAGGCTAAGCTGACATGTCATATTAACTGCATGGTAAGTTTAATTATTACTGCCATTTAAACTTGCTGGATGAGTCATTAAGACTCTATTAATAGCATAGTTAAGGTTTCCATTTGCCAGCATGATCAGAATGCAGTGTATACACCGAGGAACACACATGGCAGTGTACAGAGAGGTCATGCTAGAGATCTGTCACACTGACATGTATGGACTCGCCAAGTATCAGGCATCTCTATCCAGAGCACATACAGGAAAACACTGGCAACTTCCCATACATTAAACATGTCACATACATTGTACATGGCATCCAATCAGCACTAAACCTATTCCACATCACAATAGCATTGTCTTAATTCCAACTCATCATAGGGAGGGGTGCTAATGCAAGATTCATCCCAAACTTCCCATTGTAGATAACACAGCAACTATAAGGGAACACAAGTATCCTCTGCAGTTGTAGAAATCCAAATCCCAGAAATTTACAGACTGCCGAGGCCTTGCTGGGACTTGTAGTGTCACATCGGCACTGTCAAAGACAGCTGTCTCGGGTCTCAGCAGGCTGCCTGAAGTCCCCAGCGGGAATTCAGACAGCCGAACGTCTTAAAAAAATTTAAAGGGCCGGTATCGGCCCTAAGAATCGGGGCATTTTCACGAGTACTAGTAGTTGTGAAAATGCCCAGTATCGGCATTTTCACAGGTAAGTGGATGTTTGGATCATCAGTATACTCTGGTCTCAAACACGCCAGTATTGTTAAATCTAGGATTGTAATAGTAATCAGATTGAGTGAACATTTACATTTAATAGAATTCAAGAAAATTG